AAAAAAAAAAAAGAAAAAATCTACTCTGTTTGTGTGTGTGTAAAGGGATGGAGAAAAACAAGCTAGAACTAAAACCAGCCAACAGCAGCATATAAGCCAGGAGCAGTGTGATGAGAGTTAAAGCATTCTTCAGTACCATATGACAGGGAGAGAAAAAAAGAAAATGAAAAACAGAGTTAAAGCATCTTAGGTCTTTGTATCATATAAGATAAAGGTAAAGATGTCAGTCACCTTTAGACTTTAAGTATGCATGTTAAGAAGGTACGAATAAACTTTGAAGAAGAGTCACAGAGTATGTGACTTCCAAACAAGAATAGGAAAAAAACTAGGGTCAATCCAAAAAAAAAAGGAGGATAGAGAACACTTGGAAAAAAGAAAACCAACTCATTTAGAATATCTGAAAATAAGATATCTGAATTTATTTTTACTGTATCAGTAATCATTACCAAGGTAAATAAACTAATTCTCAGCCGGGAAAGGCGACAAAGCAAGATTCCATCTCAAAAAAAAAAAAAATTAGATGACCCCTTGGCCGGGCACGGTGGCTCACACCTATAATCACCGCACTTTGGGGAGCCCAAGGCAGGTGGATCACCTGAGGACAGGAGTTAAAGATCAGCCTGGCCATCATGGGGAAACCCCATCTCTACTAAAAATACAGAAAAATTAGTCAGGCGTGGTGGTGGGCACCTGTAATCCCAGCTACTCAGGATGCTCAGGCAGAAGAATCGCTTGAACCCTGGAGGTGGAGGTTGCTGAAAACTGAGATCACACCATTGTACTCTAGCCTGGGCAACAAGAGCGAAACTGTCTCAAAAAAAAAAAAAATACATATATATATTAGAGGACTGCAAAGAGCTTTTGTTTATCTGGATTATGTCTGTAAATACTCACCATGTTGCAAATAATACTGAGAATTTATTTTTTTGAGACAGGTTCTTGCTCTGTCACCCATGCTGAAATGCAATGGCACCATAACAACCCACAGCTGCCTCCAACTCCCAAGCTCAAGTGATCTTCCCACCCCAGCCTCCCAAGTAGTCAGGCAGGAC